CATGGACAATATGGACCATTGGACATGGACAAATATGGACTATGTCCATATTGTCCATATTTTTTGATTGGACATAGGCACTTGTCCAAAAGTCCGCACGTGATTCATGTAACCTTAATTATAGATTTTGATTGGCTAAATAATTAAACCCTGAAATATCTTTGTTTAAATTTTTTGTGCTCACAACTATAAGGCTATACAAAGCGGTATTTTTGGTTCTCATAATATTAAATTTTTATTTTGACCCGCCAACCCGGCTTTTAATTTTTAAATTAAAAAATTTTATTATTTAAAAATATTAGTCTCAAAGCAGTAACCAGGTACCTGGCAAAAAATTTTTATAATAAAAATTTTTTAGCTAAATATTCATTGTGCATTTTAAGTTTACCAGAGTGCAACGAAATGCATGGAGTGGTTGTCCTTTCACATAATATCGGTGCATTTACTGAACAGCTGTTAAACCAGTTTTATACAAGACGCAGGGTATAGTAATAAAGATGTTTACCTGCTATTTATTGACGGGTATCATATTGAAATATATAATAATAGAGACAAAAGTGTTTGAATTTTACAATATTATATATTTCAAATAAATAATTATAGAGATTTGTCTAATTTACTCAATGAAAGTCTAGCACAAAATAAGAAATAAAAAAATGGCATTGATCAATTAAAACATATCGGCGGATTTGTGGAATTGGATCTAAATTAAAGTTTCTGGATTTAACAATAGCAGAATACATAATACTGAAATTTTAGGATTAGCTTTACAATCGCGAATATAGCAAATTCGCCGATATGAAAAAAAATTAATAAAACCACATCGGTGCATGTTTCTATTTTCATTGCTTATTGCTACAACCATTCTAATACAAATATTAAATGCTAGCCCTAAAGAACTGTTAGAATGATTTTATAATATAGCCTTTCTTAATTTTAGCATTAACTAAAAGAAGCTATTAGAATGATTATTTAATTTCATGTTACGTTTGATAGTTGATCAAAACTTATATAAATATCATTTTTATTCACCACTATTGGTCTACTTTAACCTCTATCCTGTGGAATATTGAAAAAATCCACAAATCATCATCACTACAATAGATTTTATATTTTTTTAAAAAAAGTTTTAATATTACCTGTCGTTTAATGATCTAATAAGCTGCTATAATTAATCTTTTAGAAATCCGCTTCTGGTTTTGCACAATTGCATTGCGCAGCTACCTTATTAGATAGTTAACTGTTAGGTACATTCAAGATATAGTTATTCATAGTTAAATGTGAATTCAGATGGATACCAATAATTATAAGTAAGGAATATGGTCAAATGCTATAGAAGCGAAATAGCAACATAGATGAAATACATATACATATAGCTACTTTTGATTGGTCAATTTTTACTGTGCCTAAAATTAAAATTTTCTATTTCTAACTTGGTGACCCGGCCGGTTATGAGAACCAAAAATACAAGTTTGTATAGCCTAATATAGTAAGAATCTTTTATTTTCTTTCTTGTGTTATTAAATTGATTCTCGCCTGTTCCAAGCACTTATCAAAGCAATTTTTTTTTTTTTTAGAAAGTTTCAGATTTCTTAAATGTTATTACCACTTAATTAATATATCGCAAAGATAACTCTGATAAATAAAGCAATTTATTTCAGTTTATATTTGTATTTTCTTTGAGCTAAAATGTATTGGCCTATGATTTTTTAGATATAATCTAAATGGTCAACACTATTCTTAAAAACCTTTTTCAAATTTAAAAAATACTTAACTTACAAAAGTTTAAATAAAATATAATAAAAACTCCACCAATGTATCTATATTTATAATTATCTATCTGCTAATACATTTTTACAATTATCTAAAGTGTGTAAGTAATTCTTAATTTCTTAACACAATTTCATTATTTGGATCAATTCTAATAACTACTTAAATTTATAAAGGATTCTTTATATTCGTTGATAAATTTCTCTACTCTTATTTAAAGCTGTTGTATAGTTTGAGTCGATTTCTAATGATATATTTAAAGCCTGCAAGTTCATGATTATTAAATGTTATTAATTTTTAATTACATTTACTGTAAATAAAATTGCCACTTACATACCTAATCACCCAAAAGCAGATGAATGGAATCAGGTTGGTTTAATGAATCCGTAAAAATATCTGTTAGTTTCCATTTTGCTCCCAAATTATCTGCAGGGTGAATTAAATAATCTTGATGCATTACTTCGTCTTCATCATCATACAAATCAGTTTCTAATTCATCTGAACTAGATGAATTAGATTGCATATGCTTATCTTTTTCTTCAGTTAAATTAATCTATTCTTCCACAATTACTTTCCAGTCATCTACGCATTTAACTTCTTCCATATGATCACTATCCCCGGTGTATTCTGTATCAATATCATCATTGTTAGTATTTTCTTCTGATAATATAAATTCATCTTCATTATTATCATTGGAACTTATTTGTTCAAATAGAATAGCAATAGTTTGCTTGTATGTTTTTAATAACTTGTCAATTGTCGCAATATTTCGTGAACGTAAAAGCTCAGATCTTATTTGGCTCATAGCAAGGACTTTTTTATACTATTAGATATAAAATATAATAAACATAATTAATTGAACATTTCATTGCCAATGCAAATGTAATTACTCCATAACAAATGATTTATACAAAAATAACAGTCAAAGTTAGCAGTTCGAAAAATCATTTTTTCTGTTAGAGTGCAAAGGTAGTTTTTTTTATAGTTTGTCTATTAGAGTTATGACGCATTGCATTGGCAATAAATTATATTAGATTAATATTAGAAAATATAAAATACAGTAAGTTTGCCTGAAGTCGATTACACCAATCTGAGTGATACCATCCCATTGCAGAAAATAATTTTTTTACTGATGCTGTGGTTATACAGATTAAAAAAATGCGAACTGCTACAAGATGCAATTCTACAGCAACTCCTTTACAAAAATTCCAATATTGTAGAACGTTACCACCAAATTGGTCAAAAAATTCTTTATTAAATGGATATTCTTCATTTTCATAATATTGCAATTCATACAAAATAGAATATGGAGGTTTACCAAACCAAGATTTATAATAGTGTACAATCTATTGTCCCATATGTGCAAAAGAAAGACCGTTGAGGTTTTGGTTAAATTGTATATTACAATAACTTGGATGCAATAAAAAAGATAGAAGTAGCAACGGCTGTTCCTAGACTGACCATCATTTTTCTAATTTTATTAGTAAATAATCTTTAAAATCCTAATCAAAAATACCTTTAATAACTTGGCAAACCCATCTGAAGCTATGTAAAACTTCAGTGAGACAGCCTTTGTCTCGTTGAAGTTTATTTAATGATGCCATATACGGTTCGAGAAGAACCTTTAATTGTATAAGGTTTTTCCACCACTCATTATCTGAAATATTAGAAAGGATACTTCTAGAAAAACCGTTAAGATTATTATCATCTTCATCTTCTATTTTTGTAGCTAAATTTTTGAGTGCAGTATGAGACTTAATAATGCTAGCAAAATATAAATAGTGGCTATTCCATCGAGTACAATTTGGAGATACAAAAGAAACATATGATTTATATATAGATGCTTGCTCTAAACGAAGACGGCCTAAAAAAAATGCTGATCGATGAAAAAAGAATACAAGACGAATGGCTTGTTCAGCAACAGTTGACAATGCATTTGAATTTTTAAAAATATCACCGACACACAGGTTTATTTGATGTGCAAAACATGGAATAAATATGATTTCTGAATGTACACGCCATAAACATTTTCTAAATTTAAAAAGATAAACAATTTAATATTAATATACTAACATTACACTATATGAGTGCTGCCAATAGAAAATCTGATATCAGGCTTTTAATTGTATTTTGTACTGGTAAAATCAGTTTAATTTGTTAAGGATTGTGTCTGGTACAAAATATAATTGAAAGCCCGATATCAGGTTTTCTATTGATAGTACTCATATCTAATATTACTTGGCTGCTTCATATTCAGATGCACAATCTGTTACAACAGCAATAACCTTTATTTTTTTTTTTTTTAGATCATCAAGCATATTTTCTGTTCGACGTTGTACATCAGGCCATTTTGTACGTTCATTTGATATAT